ACACACACACAACCTATAAATTCTATACATGTATTTCTAATGTTAGCGTCTTCTTCAGTGTCCAGAACTTCGCCATGGATACGTTAATGACTAATCGGCACATGTACCATAGAATTACAATTTTATTTCTGACAATTTTTGACTGTTTTGAGTTAGACCATGAGGTCAGAAACCAAATCTGATCTATCAAAATATTCAAAGAATTGCATTTGAAAAAGGTTGACTTGTTGTGAAACTCAAAATTGTTAACATCAAATTTCTCAAAACTAGACACTGAGCACACAGAACTTTGTACATGTGATTCTATGGTAGCGTATGTTTGTTCTTCGTCTTTGTTATGTCCTTCCATAGACGTTTTAGAATTAGTATTCTTGAAATAGTATTATTATGCTAACATAATAATTGTATTCTTGCTAGAGGGCCTACGTGTATTTTCGGGTCGTGAACACCCATGCAATATTGAAATCACTTCCGCTTTCAAAATTTTAATGATAACGAATCTTTTTTTTGCTCCGGAAATTCCTTATCGGCGTGAACATAAAATGTCTAAAATGTAATGTAACGGATCCCTGCACCTGTCATGCACCAAGCAACCCTCTCTTTCTTCAGACTGTACAGACAGAGCCTGGGATTTCATTTTCGGGGGAAGACTTTCGCTTTCTGGTCGAGGACACACTGCTTGTGTAAGATTAAGGGTAACCGAGTGCACGATTCATGTACAGAGACATATGTGATGCAGCGTGGTTGAATCAGGCTCTCGTCAATTTTTGTGCATGTAGAGTTATTGGTATCATCTTAAATCTTGTTTACTTGTCTATATTTGAATGAAAAAAATATCCATTTATCTTGAATACAAGTCGAGATATTTGCTTATGAAGGAGGTGGGGGTGACCTGTTTTCAGAGGAAAAGTTAGTGAGAAAGTGGCCGCCAAAGATTAGTTATTTCCATAGCTTAAGAGTCCGTGGTAACTGAAAATTTCCAATTTTTTTTGCCTTTAATTAACGTTTTTCTGTAAAATCCTCACAGAAATGAGTTCTTTAATGGGCATGAAAGGTGTTGAACCAAAAAACAAAAATATGATAAAAATTCACAAACCTGCGGAAAAATGCAAGTTTCTTCACTTTGATTATTTTGACGAGAGCCTGATTTCACCACCCTGCCTCACATATGGAGATGGGTTCTCGTGGTCTGTGGGTTATGATGTTCGCCTCTCATTCAATAGGTACTGGTTTGAATCCAGATAGCTACAAAAAATTTTCTTCTCGCGCCCTCATATGACCTTATACAATTATGAGCGCCCTAAAACACTTGCAAAATGCATCATCATCATCATCATCATCATCATCATCATCATCATCATCATCATCATCA